CTCTGAGCTCTTTTCAAATAAAGCCACCAGCAGTCGGGTCCACCGCGTGACAGGTTTCAGATACCCCGGAAGTATCGGCCCGTCTCTATGTCCATTACAGGACTGTCCGCTGCAATGTTCTGTCCAAAAGCATTTAGGCTGCCCTAAGAACTGTATCACTAGCATGAGACAGGAGGAGCGGCTGTGTAAAACTCAGTAGTACAAATTCATGTTGAGATTTCAAAGAGATGCATTCTGCTCTAAAATGAGTCACAGGGCTGAAGCACTTTAAAGACTAACAAGATGGTTTATTAGATGATGAGCTTTCGTGGGCCAGACCCACTTCCTCAGATCAAATAGTGGAAGAAAATAGTCACAACCATATATACCAAAGGATACAATTAAAGGGTTGTGTGTGGTACTGCGGCGTAGTCTAAACATCTGGCTCACTTCCTGCAAACTGAGCCTTTGCACAAGGTCTGCGTCTCACTTGGCCGTAAATCATTAAAGAGACTCATATGAAAAATAAAAGCGGCTCCGAACTAAAATGCAGACAGGGACAGATTTTTTGTTGCGTGTCGTAGGATGAATTCAGAGGGCTCAGAGTAATGAGGTCTGAGAGGTACGCTGTTGTATCTACCGCAGAAACTGTCATGCCGCGCTAGTACACGAAAGCTCTTTCAGACCATAATCTGATTTATAAAGGAGACTAGCGAACGGTACTAAGAATGTGTCACAGAACTGTAACTCAGCGTGCCTCAAGCTAAATGTATCTAAAGGTCACAGATTGTTTTTTAAGTATGTGAGAGGCGAGTTGACCTGCAGCGCGTCTTGCTGGAATAACACCGATATGGGGTGGGAAAAGCAAAACATTAGTTTAACTGTGCAGCGACTTGTGAGACTTGACGCCAATGGGATTCCCGCGACAGCAGTGGCGATAGCAGGACAGTGGCAGATCGCTAGCTGTAGATTTTTGACCATGGGCATAACTGTGGCAAAAGCTCTGTCCCAAAACTGAATCTGAGCTGAGACCTGGCAGCGAAAATTTGTCACGCTTTGGGATTCACGGCTGCGGGAAGCGAAGCGGATTTATTTGCAAATGTCTCACAATTGGAAATTTGCGGTGAGGGCAAATACTGTGCTATTATCACAGCTATGCACCTCATATCATTTTAGGAGACGCTACAATAAACCACAGGGTTAGCCCGCAGCTGAAACAAAACAATTGTGACTGTAAAAAAAGTGTTCCAGGGCCGAAATTGATTTCAGAGTCGACTATTCAGCTTAGTCCGAGAACCGGCCCACAGTGACTGGAGCATGTATTTGACGCAAGCGAAACGTTTTTGTAAAAAGATTTTATGTTTTTGCTGTTCCGCACTTGTCTAAGACTCGAACTGGATTTGGGACGAGCCTGGCGAAATGGTGCCGGCCGTGTGACAGGGCTGTAACTAAGAGGTGATCCCAGGCAAGCATCCTGCATGAAAGGTGTCTCAGGCCCACAACTCTCTCTGAGGGGTTAGCGGAAATCTGTTGGCCTTGTAACGGTGCATAGCCGAGTCCAGCATGTCTCAGAGCGGTAACTGAGACTCGAGGCAAAAGGAGCAGGTCACATAAGAGGCAGAGCAAACCCAAAGTAAGCACGTTGCGGACTGCTCTGGAAAGTGCAACGGGGCTGAACATCGGCTGGAGGCACAACAAACATTTCGGAGTCTGTCTAAGAGCACAAGCAGCTTTGTATGATGTATCAGTCTGTGTATAATTTAGACTGCTCTTAAAACTGAAATTGAAATTGAAATGCCCCTTTTCCGTGATGTGCGCTGTAACACAGTGCGCAGCTCTTCTGATGCAAGTTGCACAGTAGTAATAAAAAAAAGAGACTCGTAAAAATTACACCGTGGCACGACTTCCCGCAACATTTAGATGGGGGGAGCGGGTCACAGGATGTACCGCAGCACGAGTTTTCTAAACGCTGATTAAGACGAGAACTTGAGCACTGACGTGCTTTGCGGACTGCGTAGCGAAAACTAAGACAATGAAACAAAATACAGGACTATGTAGCACGTTAAAGACTAACAAGACGGTTTATTAGCTTTCGTGGGCCAGACCCACTTCCTCAGATCAAATAGTGGTAGGAAATTGTCGCAGCCATATATACGGAAGGATACAATTAAAAAAAATGAACACATATGAAAAGGACAAATCAAATTTCAGAACAGAAGTGGGATGGAGGAGGGGGAAGGGGAGAGGTAAATGTCTGTGAACTAATGATATTAGAGGTGATAATTGGGGAAGCTATCTTTGTAATGGGTAAGATAATTAGTGGGGTAATTTGTAATGGGTAAGATCTTTATTCAAATTTGTGTGTAAAGTGTTGAATTTAAGCATGAATGACAGTTCAGAGGATTCCCTTTCAAGTGCAGTCTTAAAAGGCTTTTGAAGCAGGATGCAGGTAATCAAGTCGTTGAGACAATGTCCTTTCTGGCTGAAATGGCAAGAAATTGGTTTTTCTTTGTGATCCTGTTGGATATCTGTTTTGTGGGGGGAGCTGTCTGCTCTGCACCATACTGTGCTATGGGGGTGCCTTTCTGGTTCCTGGGCTAGGGCAGTGGGTGACCGCCCCTGGCGACTATTTGTAGCACTAGGCAAGGGTCTCACAACCTGTCCAACAGGTTGCCTCCCAGGGAGAAAGAGGAAGGCGGAGACTAACCCCTCTCTGGGAGCAGGGCTGGAAGAAGGTTTTTAGTTTCTCTTTGGAATCATGGTGGAAGCAGCCTAAGCAAGGGGCCTGGGCTTTAGGGGGCCCAGTCTCCCCCATCTCAAGGACGGGGGGAGGGCTGAGGCATCCTAGGTCTGGCCCTCTAACTAGATTACACCTGTGCTGTGCTGCATCCTTGGAGAAGCAATAAACTGCCTCAATCCTAATGGTTTGTGCCACTACGGGGGTGCAGGAGTTGGGGGAACCCCCAATGCGTCGTCACAACAGGTTCAGAGGTGATTAAGTACCCCACAAAGGCAGAGGCTCAGAGCTCCATGCATGGAGATGACTTACTGGGCAGGGCTTCTTAATCATCTGTGAAGCTTTGCTGCCATGCAGGTTAGCCCTTAGGGCTAAGATGGTGCGTCTCCTCTTTCCCGATAGGGTTGCAAGTGGTGGTATAGCAAAGGCAGTAGCTGACAGGCGGCAGCCAACCGAGGGAGGGAGCCCTCAAAAATGGATGTTGCTGGGCATCTTCTTTGCCTTTCCCTGGGAAGCGGGGTTAGGCCAGCAGGCCTCCCACAGGCAAGTACAGCAGCAGCCAGCCGTCACAGTGCTTACTCGCTCGCAGAGCTTGCTACAGGAAAATGGAGAGCAGACTGCAGCGAAGTCACCTTCACCGGCTATGCTATACTATGACATTGGCGAGCCCCTTTACATGGACCACTGCCATGGCAGCAGGCTCCATGGCAGCAGATTTGCATTTGGCCCCTTTTTGGTGCAGTCAGGTCATGGGGAAGTGGTCCCAAAGAGCTATGGCTGCAGTTTTTCAAGGGCCCACACTAGGGCCAGGAGTCCTTCTGTAGTGCTTCTCCCAGGCATCAGCTTTTTGTTCAAAAGAGGCTGATGGGGGAGGGAGCTTGCATCAACCCTTGGGCTTACTTAGAAGGAGCTGATGGGGCGGCAGTTTGCATCCACATCACACTCAGTCCAATGTCTGAGGTGTCAGTGAACACCTGGATGGGTTTGCTAAAGTCCAGGTTGACCAGCACTGCTCCTTGGCTGAGGGCCTTTTTCAGTGTGCAAAGAGATCACCTTGGCGGACTGGCAGCTGTGTCAGGGGAGCTAAAATGGGTCACAAACCTCCAGTTGTACCCGGTCAGCCCAATGAAAGCCTGTGCCTGTGCCTGCGCCTGCGCCTTAGTCTGGGGCGGGTAGGCCAGTCCCCAATGGTTTCCACTTTAGTCAGCTCTGGTGTCAGCCAGCCTCTCCCCACATTGTAGCCCAGATACGACACTGCTGCCATCCCCAGCCTGCACTTGCCATCTTTTATGGTCAGTCTGGCACCCTGGAGATGGCCCATCCCCCTCTTCACCTGGGACACAGACTCTAGCCTTAGCCTGGCTAAAGATACAGATATCATCAATATAAGACAAAGCAAAGTTCTCCATCCCTTCAATAACTGAGCCACTAGATGCTGGAAGATGGCAGGTGCTCGCTTGAGGCTAAAAAACAGGTCCAGGAACTCAAAGAGCACTATTCAGGGTGTGAAGGCAGAAGACAGACTTCACCCCGGCCTCAGGGTCCACAGTAGTGAGGAACTGGATTCCCCCAATTTGTCTAGGATCATGTCAGTCCTAGGCATGGGGTAGATATGGGACCTGGTGATAGCATTGAGTTTCCATTAGTCCATGCAGAACCAGATTGTCCCATCTTTCTTGGGGATCAGCACTGCTGGGGTGGCCCGGGGTGGAGGATGGCTGGATCACCTGTAGAGCCAGCATGTCCCTGACAGCTCTACCCAGGCTGCTTTCTCAGTGACCCTGATCAGGGTACACCTGGGGTGGGGGGAAGGTCCTATCTCCACCCAGCTTAGTAAACCCAGGCCAGTAGCACCTCTCTGGTCTGTCTGTTGGTCAGAGCGAGGACATGACTCCAGCGAGGTGCCAGCCTCAGCCTCTGGGAGGAGACCCACCAGGGTATCCTCCCCGCTCTCCTCCTACCGCCCACACAAGGCCAGCACCAACTTCTCCCTGTCCCAGTACAGCTTCATCATGTTGACATGGTGCATCTGCCAGCTGTGTGCCCGGTTGGAGAGTTCCACTACATAGTTCACCTTATTTACCTGTCTGATGACCATACCGCTTGTTTTTCCTCATGGGGCTGAGGATCATCACTTGCTCCCCAGTGACATAGCCTGGTACAACCACTCTCAGCATGCCCGTGCCTTTCTGCCTCGTGTCCATTGGCCAGGTTGTCCCTGCTCAGGCCCATTAGCCCTGTGAGTTTTCCCGGAAGATCAGTACAAACTCCATCTCTGACTCACCATTCATCCCTCATCAGCTCAGCCTTCTTCTGTATAGCAGCTCCAATGGGGAGAACCCTGTGGATGCCTGGGGCACTTCCCTGTATGCAAACAGCAAGTGAGGTAAGTACCTGTTCCAAGCCTGCAGGTCCATAAAGGCTTTTTCAGCATTTGCGTTAGTGGCCCGTTAAATCTCTCCACCAGCCATTGGACTAGGGGTGATATGCCGAGGCCCAGGTGTGCCGTACTTTTCTCACAAGCATTGGAGTGGGGGCTGACACCACAGCCGGGAGTTGGGGGGGGGTCGGCGGGTTGTGAAATCCGCCAGCCGGATTGCGTTGTTCCCTGTCCAGGTCACCTTGCTGAGGGTCCCCAATATATCCTTCCCTTCTATGAGGGGCAGCGGTCTCAAAGCTACTTGATGCTTCTCCTGGGTTTTCCCCACCTGGGAAGGGGAGACAGGACCTACAATATTCACAAAGTCAAAGGCCAGTAAAAGTTCTGCAGCAGCCTTTGCCTAGTGCTCTGGACTCCTTGATGCCCTGAAGAGTTGGCTATCATGGGTCAAGTACTGCAGCCTGCGATGTTACTTCTGGGGCACCACCAGCTGCCTCCTCACCTCCCAGGCTTCAGTTTGGCACTCCTTCTGGACACCCCCCGCCCCCGAGGCCTCCACTCCCAGAGGGTCTAGTGCAGTCCTGTTCTGCAGAGCAGAGCGACGCTCAGCCAGGACAAAACATCAGAACATAAGAATGGAAGTTCCAGCCAGGCCAGCATCCTGTCTGCCGACAGCGGCCAGGGGCCCCAGAGGAAGTGAACCGAAGAGCTAATAACCAAGCAATCGTTCTCCTGCCAGCCATCTCCACCCTCTGACAAACAGAGGCTGGGGACACCATTACTTACCCAGCATGGCTAATAGTCATTAATGGTCTTAACCACCATGACTGTATCTAGGTCTCTTTTAAACCCTGTTCTAGTCCCAGCCTTCACAACCTCCTCAGGCAAGGAGTTCCACATGTCGACTGTGCGCTGTGTGAAGAACTTCCTTTTATTTGTGTTAAACCTGCTGACCATTCACTTCATTTGGTGGCCCCTAGTTCTTATATTATGGGAAGAAGTAATGAACGGTTCCTTAGTCACTTTCTCGATACCACTCACGATTTTATAGCCAGATAAAAACTGCAGCTTTTGTCAGCCCATTTTTGTCCTGTGAGTGGCGTACGGTGGTCAGCAGGGCACCATTTGCTTGGCATGCAGTTCTGTGCAGTTCCTTGCAACAAACTCCCTTTCCCCTTGCCACATTAAGCCAGTTAAATTCTGTCACACTGAGTGCCCCTCTTCTGCATGCAACCCCCCCCTTTGAACCTCTAATGCTCCCCACTTCTTCTCAGGGAGCCTGCCCACCACCCATCCCCGGACACCAGGCCAAAGGTTTTGACCCAGTTCACCAGGCAGAGCAGGTTTCGTAGGCCTCCACCCACACCAGGTCACCCAGATCTTGGACTACAAGAAGCATGTCGTCAGCATATGCCAACGCGATCAGCCACAGCTCAGGCTCTTGGAGCGCCAACCCTGTCAACCTCCGGTGAAGGAAACAGAGGAAGGGCTTTGATTGCCAGCACATACAGCTGTCCCACCAGCAAAAACCCCTGCCCAAAGCTGACTGGCTCAGTTAGGGTCCGGTTGAGCTTGTTTAAACATTCCATGCAGGCATCTGGCACCTGGAAAAAGCCCATGAAACAGGGCCTGAAACCGAAGGCCAGTAGAGTTCTTTGGAGATACCTGTAGCCCACTCCATCAAACGCCTTCTCTTGGCCCAGGTACAGGAGAGTGAACATCAGACAATCTCTACACCCAAGCTCCAAGGGCTCCTGGACAAGATACACATTTTCAAAGGTGGTGTGGCTCAGGCCGGACCAGGTCTGTCGGCATGGCCTGGTCATAATGCTGTCATAATGAGCTGGCACGACAGCAGGCAGAGGGGCCCCCCCC